GATAAGGCACCTGTGGGAAGCTCTGTAGCTCTTTTTTCCTGGCACTGAGATAGAAGACATCCAAACTTAATTACGTCACTGCTATCACCACAGGAAGCTTGAGAAGTGGGGGAAAGCTCCTAGCACGTGCGTGGGAAACCTCCAGAACAACTCCATTCTTCTATCCAAGGGATGTGTTGGGTTTCTCTCCCATTGGAACTTCCAATTCATCATCAAATTTGCTTTAAAATCATGTAGGACAGGATTTCCCTGGTGGCGCAGTGGTTGAGAATCCGCCTGTCAATGCAGGGGACATGGGTTCGAGCCCTGGTCTGAGAAGATCACACATGCCACGGAGCAACTAAGCCCATGCGCCACAACTACTGAGCCTGCGCTCTACAGCCCATGAGCCACAACTACTGAAGCCCATGCTCTGCAACAAGAGAAGCCACCGCAGTGAGAAGCCCACGCATGACAACAAAGAGTAGCCCCCGTTCGTTGCAACTACAGAAAGCCCAGGCGCAGCAACGAACACCCATCGCAGCCAAAAATAAATAAATTAATAAAAAAATGATGTAGGACCATGATAAGACAAAAATATGGGCACTCAGCCTAAGAAATGAGGTCAAACTTGAAAGGAGGCAAGCAGGCAAGTGAGCGCTTGAATTTAAAGGCAAATGCAGTCCTTGGTATTCTACTCTTAGAAATCTGACGCTACCATCCACCAGGAGTCACTGCTATCGGCCGGCAATCTCTACCTCTGGAGGCGACGCTATCAGTGAGTATCGAAAACCTGGCCTCCGTGATGCTCTCCTTTCTTGGTTTACCATCAAGAACCCAATAGGAATACCAAGCTTTAAATAACATGTGCAAGACTGTTAAACACGTCTAGAGAAAGAAGATTCAAATATTGTAAGAGGTGTCTGCCATGGAGTGGTACAAATGCAAAGTGGAGGAGACGTTAGAGATCATCTTGTCCAGTGATTTTTTTTATATTTCATTTTTGGCAGAACTTTCCCATACATAATCTTACAAAGAAGTCCAATATATACAGCACATAAAGCAAAAATGCTGTGGCAGAGAGAATCCCAGCGTTCCATGCAGGTCCATTAGTCCTATTAAAGGCTGTGCAAATGTGAGCTGCTTAACTCCAGTAAGAGGCACTGCTCACCTCCTGGTTCCATTTTCAGAGTTATTAATAGAACAGCTTTCCAGCAGATGGCAGTAGTAGGAAGGGAAGGCTTTTAAAAATTTGCACAAAGCCTCCATATGCTGACTGACTATACAGCTGAGCCCCATCCACTCAACACCCTGAAGTCAGTGCTTCCCAAGTTGTTCTGTTATGATGCACAGAAAATGCCACTTGTAAAGCACAGGTAGAGAGAGGAAGTGCAAACGGCCACGGGCCCCACGGGCTACAGAGATCAGTATGCTATGACACACAGCAGGGAAACTCTGCCCTAAGGCACCGCTACCGAGCACAATTTGAGAACTACTCATGTGGTGACTGGTCCAATTCTTGTGTTTCACAGGTGGGGATACTGAGGTTCAGAGAGTGGATGACCCACTCAAGGTCACAAACCTAAAAGTGAATTGAAAATCTGAAAGATGCCACCAGAAAACTACTACGACTAATCGATGAATTTGGTAAGGTTGCAGGATACAAAACTAATGCACAGAAATCTCTGGCATTCCTATACACTAACAACGAAAGATAAGAAAGAGAAATTAAGGAAACAATCCCATTTACCATCGCAACAAAAATAATAAAATATCTAGAAATAAACCTACCTAAGGAGGCAAAAGACCTGTACTTAGAAAACTATAAAACACTGATGAAAGGAATCAAAGATAACATAAACAGATGGAGACATATACCATGCTCCTGGATTAGAAGAATCAATATTGTGAAAATGACTATACTACCCAAAGCAATCTACAGATTCAATGCAAATCCTATCAAATTACCAATGGCATTTTTCACAGAACTAGAATGAGAAATTTTACAATCTGTATGTAAACACAAAAGACCCTGAATAGCCAAAGCAATCTTAAGAAAGAAAAATGGAGCTGGAGGAATCAGGCTCTGACCTCAGACTATACTACAAAGCTACAGTAATCAAGACAATACAGTACTGGCACAAAAACAGAAACATAGATCAATGGAACAGGACAGAAAGCCCAGAGATAAACCCACGCACATATGGTCACCTTATCTTTGACAAAGGAGGCAAGAAAATACAATGGAGAAAAGACAGCCTCTTCAATAAGCGGTGCTGGGAAAAATGGACAGCTACATGTAAAAGAATGAAATTAGAACACTCCTTAACACCATACACAAAAATAAACTCAAAATGGATTAAAGGCCTAAATGTAAAGGCCAGACACTATAAAACTCTTAGAGGAAAACACAGGCAGAACACTCTATGACATAAATCACAGCAAGATCCTTTTTGACCCACCTCCTAGAGAAATGGAAATAAAAATAAAAATAAACAAATGGGAAGTCATGAAACTTAAAACTTTTGCATAGCAAAGGAAACCATAAACAAGATGAAAAGACAACCCTCAGAATGGGAGAAAATATTTGCAAATGAAGAAACTGACAAAGGATTAATCTCCAAAATATACAAGCAGCTCATAAAGCTCAACAACAACAAAAAACAAACAACCCAATCCAAAAATGGCCAGAAGACCTAAACAGACATTTCTCCAAAGAAGATACACAGATGGGCAACAAATACATGAAAAGATGCTCAACATCACTAATTATTGAGAAATGCAAATCAAAACCACAATGAGGTACCACATCACACTGGGCAGAATGGCCATCTCAAAAACTCTAGGAACAATAAATGCTGGAGAGGGTGTGGAGAAAAGGGAACCTTCCTGCACTGTTGGTGGGAATGTAAATTGATACAGCCACTATGGAGAACAGTATGGAGGTTCCTTAAAAAACTAAAATGGGGGCTTCCCTGGTGGTGCAGTGGTTGAGAGTCTGCCTGCCGATGCAGGGGACACGGGTTCGTGCCCCAGTCCGGGAGGATCCCACATGCTGCGGAGCGGCTGGGCCCGTGAGCCATAGCCGCTGAGCCTACGTGTCCGGAGCCTGTGCTCCGCAACGGGAGAGGCCACAACAGTGAGAGGCCCGCGTACTGCAAAAAAAAAACAAAACAAAAACCAAACTAAAATAGAACTACCATATGACCCAGCAATATCACTACTGGGCATATACCCTGAGAAAATCATAATTTAAAAAGAGTCATGTACCACAATGTTCACTGCAGCACTATTTACAAAAGCCAGGACATAGAAGCAACTAAAATGTCCACCAACAGATGAATGGATAAAGAAGATGTAGCACATACATACAATGGAATATTACTCAGCCATAAAAAGGAAAAAATACTGAGTTGTTTGTAGTGAGGTGGATGGACCTAGAATCTGTCATACAGAGTAAAGTAAGTCAGAAAGAGAAAAACAAATACCGTATGCTAACACATATATATGGAATTTAAAAAAGCGGTACTGACGAACCTAGCGGCAGGGCAGGAATAAAGACGCAGACGTAGAGAATGGACTTGAGGGCACAGGGCGGGGAGGGGAAGCTGGGATGAAGTAAGAGAGTAGCACTGACATGTATACACTACCAAATGTGAAATGGATGGCTAGTGGGAAGCTGCTGCATAGCACAAGGAGATCAACTCGATGCTTTGTGATGACCTAGAGGGATGGGATAGGGAGGGCAGGAGGGAGGCTCAAGAGGGAGGAGATATGGGATATATGTATACATATAGCTGATTCATTTTACTGTACAGCAGAAACTAACACAACATTGTAAAGCATTTATATTCCATTAAAGATGTGAAAAAAAAAAAAAAGTGAATTGAACCCAAGTCTCTAGACTCCTTCCCCAGTGTTCATTCCATTGTGTCCACATCAAAAGACTTTAATTCTTTCCCATCTGCTAGATAAAACAGGGTCAGTTATTGGTACATAATTCCACAAAAGAAATGACAGAAAAAAATCAGTTTTCCCAAGGTGAAGGTCAAGAAGACAAAAAAGGGAAAAACACACCACTCTATACCTAGACTCGGGCACCACCATGCCCCTTATGATTTACACAGCTCCAGGTACAGGAAGTTGATCATACTGAACAGACTAGATACCAGCAAGGGGTGTTTAAAAATCAAGCTTTATTACTTATCTTTTGGCACTACGGTCAATAATTCACAGAATGGGTCGCTTTGAGCGACTCAAGATTACCAGAGAATCCTCCACAAGAAACACAACCCCACATACAACATTTACTACAGAGGAATAGATCCAAGAGAATGAGTCTTTCCGTAAAGCAAATCTCAACTCTTATCTGAACAGCCAGACTCTGGATTTTTGTAGTGGCTTTAGTCAGGCAAATCTATCACGATTCATTACTCAGAACATGTAAAAAAATTATAAGACAGTTCTCAATTCTTCCCCAACATCTTTACTAAACCCCCGATTCATTGCTTATGGATGCTCAGCTCATGTACAATGTTGCAAGCTCCATCTCAGCCCATCCTAATTCAAATTGAAAAACAAAGTTTGGTTCACGCATCCCGACTCATCCAGGAACCAAATTCCAAAGTAAGAGGACAAACAGTGCTTCCTGATTCAATATAACATGTGTTAACAGTCCTAATCCCAGACACTAAGCTACCTCCGATGCAGTCTGGGACTGACTTAGCCCATGTCTACACCAGGCATTTCTTCTGAATTTATAATTACTTCACAAGCTGACTAAGGCAAAACAAACATAACCCAGTCCTGCATGTGAGGGTTTAGGCCTCATCTATTAACTGCTACTTTAAAGGTGACCTTGAGTCTTTGCTTCTCCTGGGAATTATTCTGAACAGGGGCAGGATGAGGGGAGGGGCCGGGGTGTGGTGGTGGAGTGAAAGCCACTTCAGCTCAGAGTGAAATGGTGAAGGTATTAACCTACCTTCTGAAAGATACTAGAGACAAGGAAATCAAGGGTGAGATCAAGTGCTAAACTCTTCTCATAATTTTTTTTTCAAATTTTTTGCAAAAATGAGAAAGGCCAATTCTGCTTACTCTGTCATGCAGACCCCTTTAAGGAGTCATCACATCTACTAAAGGACCTCTTAGATCTGTGACCCATGAAAATCTGCTCTCCTAGTCACAAGGTACAAATACACAAAACACATATTGACATGACTTCTCCCAAATACAGCTGTCTTCAGTTGCTTTATTATTGTCCCTTTGCAACAAAATGGTGATGGTGGGCGATGGAATGATATCAGGAACGCCAGAAGGAGGACGTCAGAAAGCCCTTGGGGACAGGAATCTCCTTGCGCTGCAAACATTTCTGGTCAGGGAGAGACAAGGGAAACACAATGATTCTCTGGTAACACTGCTTCCAACACTTAAAGTTTGGAAGAAACTTTGAGGGACAGCAAGTGGAAGTAAGTCCTATGGATGCAGTACATATATATACAATGGAATACTACTCAACCATAAAAAACCCAAAATAATGCCATTTGCAGCAACGTGGATGGACCTAGAGATTGTCATACTGAGTGAAGTAAGTCAGAGAAAGACAAATATCATATAATATCGCTTATATGTGGAATCTAAAAAAAATAGTACAAATGAACTTCTTTACAAAACAGAAATAGAGTCACAGATATAGAAAACAAACTTATGGTTACGGGGTGGGGGGAGGGATAATTTGGGTGATTGGGACTGACATATACACACTACTCTATATAAAACAGATAACTAATAAGAACCTACCATATAGCACAGGAAACTACTCAATACTCTGCAATGACGTATATGGGAAAAGAATCTAAAAGAGAGTGGATATATGTTTATGTATAACTGATTCACTGTGCTATACAGCAGAAACTAACACAACATTGTAAATCAATTGTACTCCAATAAAAATTGAAAAAAAAAAAGGCTGTCTATAAGACTTCTCCTTCTGCATGAATTGCAGTGGAGGACAAATGCCAGGGTATTGTTAACGTCTGTCCCACTCTCATCTCCCACAGCCTGGCCTCCCCTTTCACTACTGCAATTTCCCCAACTGGACTACTGGAGACTGGAAGTCAGTTGGCTGTCTTGGCAGACGTACCAAAATGTAAAGTTTTTTGGCACTTGGAAAAAGGAGAGGAGTCTGGTTCAAACTGTAGTCTGTTCTTGTGGAGAACACATACTTGTTCCCTAGACCTGAGACTGAGAAAAGAACCTTGGCCAACATGCAAAAAGTGTATCAGTGAGATAAGATTCATTACATATATTTTATTCATCTCTTAGGAGAGCTTTTCCCCACGGGCAGTATGGACAATGACGCGTAGGAAGACGACGAAATGGCAGCCCTTAAGGTGAAGAGGGGTGGATGGACAAAAAAGTAGGGTTCGGAAAAATCAAGAGGAAGAGACCGCAGTCAGAGTCTGGATATGCAAGGCACATCAGACACAGGTGCACTGGAGGCCGACAACAGTCTGGGATGTGCTGGTCTAAGGGCATCTTACCTCCAAGAACTGCTTGAGGCGTATGAAGGAACCCATCTGTCCTGGGCTGGTGATGGCTTCAATCCTACAGAGAGAGAAAGAAGACAGGTGAGTCACACCTATGACTCACACTTATCTTTTGGAGGAGTTAAGAGACCTGCTGATCTGGAGGAAGGGGCAGATCAAACGACTCACAGACATGTCTACTAGACTGGATGCTGTCGCTCTACTAAATGGTCTCAACATTTTTTTCTTTTCTTTTTTCTTTTTTCATGCCCCCTGCAGTGGAAGCATGGAGTCTTAACCACTGGACCGCCAGGGAAGTCCCTCAACATTTTTTTCAAATAAGTGGGTAAAGGAAAAGAGAGTACTGTTCCTTTCCAAGGTCTTTGTGATCAGGTGGGATGGGTGCTGCCAATGCCTTTCCCCACTGAAAGGCCAGTGAGTTGAGAGGAATGAGAAGGGTCCTTGAAGGTTAACGCCACAACAGAGTCAAGCAAACTGGCTGACCAATCAGTTTCACCAACTGCTTTACTGAGGGAGTTTGCCTCCTTGGTTTCATTCATGACTGCATGTAATCACCATCCCAGATTATCTGGGGGAGTTTAGAAAAGAAGAGAGTTTAAAAAATGTCAGGTATCTGAATCCAAGATCTTCCTACTTTGTTTTTTTTTATTTAGTCAACGATATTTAAGAGAGACTTCAGAAGCGTGTATTCAAATAACAAAGAGGAGATGGATGGGAGCAGATGTTACACTTAACACAGGTGCATGTAACAGCAGCCACGGTGTCTGGCGTCACAGGTTCTCGCCTACCAGATGCCCCGGCGTCTCCTCGGCGCGTCTAGTACCTGGGGAAGTAGTCCTCTTTGATGAGAAGCATCGTCTTCCAGAACTGGAGCTGGTACTGCGTCATGAGGGCGTTCCCACACACCTGGGGGGGGGGGGTGGGCACTGTCAGCGCAGAGAGCGAAGATTCACACCACGTGAGAGACCCATAAAGGACAATCAGACCTCTGCCTTTTGTTCCTATCAAGAATTCCAACCACAATGCCACTTAGCCAGCTAAGCAAGGGAATTAAAATCCAGCTTTCTTCTGAAGCATTTCTCATATATGGTAATACCTCCATTTAACCAGACTGCCAGGTAGCCAGGTGTTTCAGAAAACGTGAATCAAACTTAACCTACTATTGATTCTATGGAACACGATAGAAAGCCCAGAGATAAATCCACGTACCTATGGTCAGCTAATCTATGACAAAGGAGGCAAGGATATGCAATGGAGAAAAGACAGTCTCTTCAATAAGTGGTGCTGGGAAAAATGGACAGCTACATGTAAAAGAATGAAATTAGAACACTCCCTAACACCATACACAAAAATAAACTCAAAATGGATTCGAGACCTAAATGTAAGACCAGATACTATAAAAACTCTTAAAGGAAAACATAGGAAGAATACTCTTTGACATAAATCAGAGCAAGATCTTTTTTGATCCACCTCCTAGAGTAACAGAAAAAAAAACAAAAATAAACAAATGGGACCCAGTGAAACTTAAAAGCTTTTGCAAAGCAAAGAAAACTACAAACAAGATGAAAAGACAACCCTCAGAATGGGAGAAAATATTTGCAAACGAATCAATGGACAAAGGATTAATCTCCAAAATATATAAACAGCTCATGCAGCTCAATATTAAAGAAACAAACAACCCAATCCAAAAATGGGCAGAAGACCTAAATAGACATTTCTCCAAAGAAGACATGCAGATGGCCAAGAAGCACATGAAAAGCTGCTCAACATCACTCATTATTAGAGAAATGCAAACCAAAACTACAATGAGGTATCACCTCAAACCAGTTAGAATGGGCATCATCAGAAAATCTACAAACAACAAATGCTGGAGAGGGTGTGGAGAAAAAGGAACCCTCTTGCACTGCTGGTGGGAATGTAAATTGATACAGCTACTATGGAGAACAGTATGAAGGTTCCTTAAAAAACTAAAAACAGAATTACCATATGACCCAGCAATCCCACTACTGGGCATATACCCAGAGAAAACCATAATTCAAAAAGACACATGTGGGCTTCCCTGGTGGTGCAGTGGTTGAGAGTCCACCTGCCGATGCAGCGGACACAGATTCGTGCTCCGGTCCGGGAAGATCCCACATGCTGCGGAGCAGCTAGGCCCGTGAGCCATGGCCGCTGAGCCTGCGCGTCCAGAGCCTGTGCTCCACAATGGGAGAGGCCACAACAGTGAGAGGCCCGCGTACGGAACAAAAAGACACATGCAACCCAATGTTCATTGCAGCACTATTTACAATAGCCAGGTCATGGAAGCAACCTAAATGCCCATTGACAGATGAATGGATAAAGAAGATGTGGTACATATATACAATGGAATATTACTCAGCCATAAAAAGGAACGAAATTGGGTCATTTGTAGAGACGTGGATGGATCCAGAGACTGTCATACAGAGTGAAGTAAGGTAGAAAGAGAAAAACAGATATTGTATATTAACGCATATGTGTGGAATCTAGAAAAACGGTACAGGCGAACCTGTCTGCAGGGCAGAAACGGAGACACAGATGCAGAGAACAAACATATGGACACCAAAGGGGGGCAAGTGGCTGGGGGTGGTGGTGGTGGGATGAATTGGGAGATTGGGATCGACATATAAACACTAATATGTATAAAAGGGATAACTAATAACAACCTGCTGTATAAAAAATAAATAAAATTCAAAAGAAACCAACCAAACAAAAAAAAACCTTAACTTACTATTGATCCTAAAGGTATGACATACTTCCCGTATTGTGACTTCAGGAGCTTTAAGGTGACTAGAAACTGTTGGCGTTATAGGCCAAATGGTCCCAGATTTGTTATGGCATGTGCCCCAAGCCTTTATTCTCTAAGAACTGTTTCCTTTCCACAGAAACCCTACCCTTTCCCTGTAGTGGGGTCCCTAATGGGCAGAGAGGACTATACGGAGCCTTCTAGATGAGACTGGTACCTGTGACCCAAGCCGGTTAATCATATTTTCTCTCCTGGGAATTAGCAATCACAATGGTGGGACATTAGTCCCATTACACTGGGTGACCACACTGAGGCTGAGGGATATAGCCCAGGATGGCATCTTCTCCACTATGCACAGAAAACTTCAGAAAGTTGCCTTATAGAGCAAGAAGGAGGCAACCTGCAGGAAGAGCAGACATGGAAGACCATGTGGTCCCAGGGGGAGGCTGCCTTGGTACCTGGTGACATTCCAGTTCCTGGTTCCAGGCCCTGATGAGATTCAACTGCACATCCTACCCTTGATTCTGGAGTGAGTCACTTCTACATCCCTAAAACAAATTCCTTTTCACTTGTATCGGAATGTACAGTTTTCTGTTCTTTAGAACGAGAAGACAACCACACAGCGAAGGAAAGTACACTGGGAAGAAAAATCAAAAGCTAGCTTTGTCTTGGGGATCAGGAAAAAATTTATGACACTGGACCCTAACGCTGTTCACCATTAGTCTCTATTTCTTTTTTATTTTAGCTCCTAAAATCCTTGTAATTTCCTAAGTGATAAAGGTAAAAAGAGCATCTTTTGTTGTATATATATTTATGTATTTTTAAAATTTTTTGGCTATGCGGCATGTGGGATCTTAGTTCCTTGACCAGGGACTGAACCTGCACCTTCGCAGTGAAAGCGCGGAGTCCTAACCACTGGACCGCCAGGAAATTCCCATTAGTCTCTATCTCTATATTCCTTTCCCAGTCATGTCACACTGTGTCCCAAGGCTGCTTCAACCACTGGCTCTCTCTCGTGTGATAGCTGTATTACATACCTCCAAGAAATCAAAGAGGAGGGTGGCTGTCACATCTGACAGGGGCTCCATGTTTAAGATCTGTGCCAACCAGCGCCAGCCATGATTTAAGCCATGAGGGTGAATCTGGGAGGAGAGAGGCTTGGTTACTGTTTAATCTCATTTTATGCAGAGATCTAAATTTCCACCATTATCAACCAGCCATTACCAACAGGACATGAACCCCCAGATCAGCTAACCTAAGCAACCTGCCACAGGGCAGAAACAACACAAGCCGAACAAACTCTGTTTTTAAATACTGCATACACTGGCATCCACACATTCTTCACAGCATCCCTGCAACACAGGGCTGTCAGCTTCAGTTTCAGGGATTCCACAGTTACTCTCATAGACATTTTATTTATTATTCTTGGTATCTTTAGCACAGAACGTGGGACATAGCAGGTACACAATAAAAACTTCTTGGATTCAATCAACCTATATTCCTTTCTCTTCAGGTTTCCAAGTCCATCAACTTCTCCAACACTCTAATCTCCATTCCTTGAAAAAAGAACTGGGCTGGCAGGTCAAAGCCCTGGCCCCGAGCCGTGGCTCTGTCATTGACAAGTGTGTATCACTACAGCTTGTTAAGCCTCCGTCTGTCCATCTGTGAAGGTATGTGACCTAGATGGCCTCTAAGGCACCAATTAGTCTCTGAACAAATGACTCTGATGAGCCAAAAGTTTCCTAATAATCAACATCAATTTCTCTGAAGAGTGCCTATGAAGCAGCAATAGTCTTTAACTTATCACGTGACTGGACTGCCTCTCTGAAAGGTCAGTATTTCCTGCAGGTAAGATACACTAACGTGAACTCTGGTCCAACCTCTCATTATCGATACTAAGCCGCTTCTACTACCTCTTGTCGGTTTCCATACGGCCACCGGAGCTGGATGATGGCAGCGTAGAGACGGATCATCCCAGACATGCGTTTTAGAAAGCTGTCTTGCTGTTCTACTATGGAATCCGTCACTTTGTAGCCAAGCATCCTATGTGGGAAGAAAATATTCAATGTGACAAGGCCAAAGTGAGGGTGACCAATTACTTTTTATGGCTAAAAGTAACAATATATTATTACTATATTTAGCATTATTATTAATACATTTTTACATGCTACTCACATCTATTATCAAATCTGTGCAACATATAAACCCTGAGAGGTAAATTCCCAGGAGGTAATGGATATCATTACCCCCATTTACAAATCATGAAAATAATGTTTAAAGAGATTAAATGATTTCCCCATTTTTGCAAATCTATTAAAAGACAAAGCAGGGATAAAATTCTAAGACCCCTGGATTCTAAATCCAGTATTCTAAAGCCATCCAGTTTGCATGAAAGACACTGTATTCTCTGACAGAATGTTCAAGGTACATAAGAGATCTTCTGAGGAGAGGAAACAAATCCCAGTTCTATTTCTATTTCATTCATCACTCTAGGGATAGTGAGTAAGGAGAAAAACAACTTCACCTCTGATAATCTTCCAAAGCCATTCCCTCTTTGAAAGCGGGATAGAAAGGAACAGAGTAAGGACACTTCCTGTGCAGATGAGCAAGGATGAGGTCCCCCACTCTGGGGTGGAGCTCCCAGATCCCGGATGCCACGACTGCGATGGGGAATGCTGCTTCATGATGGGAGGCCACTTCCTCCTCCCCTTGTTTCTGGGAGCACAGACAGGGGGTGATTTTAAGTTAATACTCGAGGAAGGTTTAAAGGTTGTGCACCAGCCTCTTCTTCCCATACCTTTGGCAACAAGGTTCCTCACCACAAATTTCTCTGCCAGTTTGTACTGGACAAAGTCCAGGCCCTGTGGGTTAAGTGTGACAGACACAGAGCGCCCACCAGACTGAACGGGTTTTCCAGAGAGTAAGCTGTGGATCTTGTCAAAGATCTCCTTCAGCTTTGAGCCTGGGTATGAAAGACAAAGTTAGTGAAAAGATACAACTGCAGTCAATCTATTTTTTTCATCACTGCAGTAACAAATCCTCTATACAAACCCAGCTGTGCAGCCCTACAGAAGGTCAAAGCCTAAAGCCAAAATACAGATGTGGAAAAATGTATGACAATCAAATCCATGGTGTGGGGGACGAGAAAGTACACAAAGCGTGGTACTATTTCGAAGGAATTCCTTATTTGCGGAGTCAACTAATTCTGAAACTGACACAGCTGAGAGATGAACAGTAGTATAGAAACAGGTGTTAAATTGTTACAGATGCCACGGGTGTGGCTGATGTCCCTAGAGAAGTCATCTGCAACTCTAGGGAAAACCTTCTAAAGGATCTTCCCCAACTCACAGTGATTCCCCCCTTCTCTTGGACCTGCCTTCCTCCATCCTCAGCAACACAGAAGCTACGTTTGTAGCTGCGTGCCCCATCTTCCACACTGGCTAGTTAGATTAGGACTAGTCACGCTGAGCTGATCAGCCACCTGACAGAGTCGACTCCTTGAAGTGGCCACTCCTGTGACATGTACACATGTAAGCAGTGGGGCTGCCCCTGCTATGTGGACCAAAGAACAGCAGTCTACAAAATTAGAATGGAGGTGGACAGAGGGAAGCCAAGAGGAGAGAGAAAAGGGTCCTAAAATTTCTGGCTCCTGAGATCCAGCTCCATTCCTGCCATAGGTTCTGTGAAACTGCTATCTATCTCTATCTATCTATCTATCTATCTGTCTATCTATCTACCTATTTAGGCTGCGCCGGGTCTTAGTTGCTGCACAGGGGATCTTCCTTTCGGCACCCAGGATCTTTTCTTTAGTTACAGCGTGCGGACTTCTTAGTTTCAGCATGCAGACTCTTAGTTGTGGCATGCATGCGGGATCTAGTTCCCCAACCAGGGATCGAACCCAGTCCCCCAGCATTGGGAGCACAGTGTCTTACCCACTGGACCACCAGAGAAGTCCCAAAACTGCTTTATCTTTAGAACAAACCCCCTTACCCCACCCACTTTTTCTTTCCTTTCTTTTTACTTTTCTTTCTTTTTTTTTTTTTTGCTTAAGCAGATCTGAATTAGTTTCCATTATTTAAAATCAATGTTTGAACAAATACAGTATCTCCAGTTTAGAAATACCCTGCCAAATTCCTAATCACTTTAAGAAATATTTAAAAATCTCAGAAATATCCTCCCCAAACCACTGATTCAGTTCCATTAAAAAAGGAGAGAGGGCTTCCCTGGTGGTGCAGTGGTTGAGAGTCCGCCTGCCGATGCAGGGGACACGGGTTCGTGCCCCAGTCTGGGAAGATCCCACGTGCCGCAGAGCGGCTGGGCCCGTGAGCCATGGCTGCTGAGCCTGCGTGTCCAAAGCCTGTGCTCCGCAACGGGAAAGGCCACAACAGTGAGAGGCCCGCGTACCGCAAAAAAAAAAAAAAAAAAAAAAAATGTGGGGGGAGAGAGGGGCAGCACATTTCTTAGGAAGTAAGAGAAGCAGGAAGAAACCAAGAATTAAATAATGAGATATCACAGAAATCTCAAGGCTAATAATCCCAGAAAAACAGAAACAGAGACTGTAACCTTACTGAGATATTAAAATATGTACATTTCCACACAAATTTACTCAGCTCACCTTCCTGCTAAGTCATACCCTACTATTCCTTGACTGACGGTTTCAAAGGGCTCCACTGGCCAAATCCCAGCCAGCCCCTCTTCCCGTGGCTCTCCAGTTAGAAATATCAGGTCCCAACCCTATGCCTGATATGGCCTCCCACATCCCATATGCCACAATGGCACCATATCCTTCTTTAAATTCTGCTCCTTATCTAACTACTCATGGACACCCACCTTTCAAGAGGCAGCAATTAGGTCACCTCTCTCTCAGTCATTCAACATTTACTGGGCACTAACTCTAGAAAATGTTTGTGACTGACTGGGCTGTAAGCTCTTAAAGTGCTTACAATAATGATGGAGACAAAGGGACATAGTTATGGAATAGGCAGGAAAATGAGGAATGGCAAAACTAGAATCTAATCAGATATAGAGAATGAACTAGAGAAAGCAGTCAGGGGAATGACTCGCAGGTTTCAACTAAGGTGACCGAGTAGATAAGGTGCTATTGATTACTTAGAGCAAACAGGAGAAAAGGCAGGCAAGAGGAAGATGATGAGTTGACATCGGAACATTCTAAACCTGACAAAGCTGAGGGGCATCTAGGCAGAGCTGCCCCTCAGGTAGCTGGAGCGAGGGAACCTGAAGCTCAAAGGAAAGGAATGACCCAGAGACCGATCTGAGTGTCATGTGTGCAGAGGTCAAGTCTGACACCATGGGGGGGTCTTTAGAATGAGAAGAACTTCGGGGTAGAAGCACATCCCTGAGGACACACTTACCACTGATGTGGGGGCAGGAGACTGAGGAACCCACAAAGGAGAAAGAGAGGGAGGAGGAGAAGCTGGAAATTAAAGCTGCTGCAGAAGCCAGAGGAGTAGAGGTGATGGAGGGAATAATCAACGGTACCAAAAGGCAACATGGGGACTTCCCTGGTAGTGCAGTGGTTGAGAATCCGCCCTGCCAATGCAGGGGACATGGGTTCGAGCCCTGGTCTGGGAAGATCCCACATGCTGTGGAGCAACTAAGCCCGTGCACCACAAATACTCAGCCCATGAGCCACAACTACTGAAGCCCGTGTGCCTAGAGCCCATGCTCCACAACAAGAGAAGCCACCACAATGAGAAGTCCATGCACCGCAACCAAGAATAGCTTGCTGCAACTAGAGAAAGCCTGCACACAGCAACGAAGACCCAATGCAGCCAAAAATAAATTAATTAACCAAAAGGCAACAAGAAAATTAGAAAATACTGAGAAGACACAGAATCAAAAGAAACAGATTTTAGAATGTGAGTGACAGGCATGTTTAAAGGGAAGGGAGCCTGTAAAAGGGAGTAATTTTGCAGAAAACAGCAGCGATCTCTCTTGAAGGACATGGGAGGGGATGAGAATAAGCCTCCCGAGCCTCATTCAAGGCTCAGGCAGAAGGGTAAGTGTGGGCCGGAAGGGTAGCACATCTTTTGAAGCAGGAGACGAAGAGGTAAATACAGCTGTGTATTGGTGGAAGGGGGTGCATCTGAGGATCTCACACCTGGCATCTCAAATTTTCCTGATGAAAGAGGAGGCAGGGCTGCCTGCGGTCAACTGAGGGGTAAAGAGGATAAGCCTGAGGAGAGCAGCAAAAGTGTGGAACGGCTGTTCAGTCAACCTCGCCCCTGTTGCCTTGGCTATCAAAGGAAATGGCACTTTCAATTCTAGAAAGTGATACGTGTTTACTTATTTGACCTTGCCCTGTTCCAGTAGGAATTCCAGACAGCCACGTGATATGGAAGTTCTGTCATGTAGCCTCACAAGGGCAGGAACTGCAACTGCTTATGCTTTCTGGGCAACAAGTTACTCAAGAGAACTGGGACCCAGGCTAAGTCAGAGCAGCTTGCCGTGCTCCCCAGCCACTGGGCAGCACAGTCTGTACTGTGGAGGCTTCCACATCTGAGCTCTGTGAAAATGAACCTCTGTTTCTAAAGAAGAGGAAAAAGGGGTCTTTCCCCTGTCTGGTTCTTCCTCTCTAAATCTCAGTCTCTGGAGAGAAAAGGAAAGCGTTCTCAAGTGTTAACAAGCAGGCTTCAAGTCTGGAAAAGCTAATGTTGCAGGACAAAAAGCAAAGAATACAAGTCACATCCTAGGTTCTCTTAGGGGTGCTTTCTGCAATAACTTCTAACTTTAGGTAAGAGCCTTCCTAAACACTTTTTTTTCTTTTTGGCTGCCTTGGGTCTTCATTGCTGCGCATGGGCTTTCTTTAGTTGCAGCGAGTGGGGGTTACTCTTCATTGCAGTGCACGGGCTTCTCATTGCGGTGGCTTCTCTTGTGGAGCATGGGCTCTAGGCATGTGGGCTTCAGTAGTTGCAGCACGCGGGCTCAGCAGTTGTGGTGCACAGGCTTTGTTACTCTGCAGCATGTGGGATCTTCCTGGACCAGGGATTGAATCCGTGTCCCCTGCATTGGCAGGCGGATTCTTTTTTTTTTTTTTAATTAATTAGTTTGTTTTTATTTTTGGCTGTGTTGGGTCTTCGTTGCTGCACGTAGGCTTTCTCCAGTTGAGGCAAGCAGGGGCTATTTTTCGTTGCAGTGCAAGGGCTTCTCATTGCAGTGGCTTCTCTTGTTGCGGAGCATGGGCTCTAGGCACGCAGGCTTCAGTAGTTGTGGCATGTGCACTCAGTAGTTGTGGCTTGCGGGCTCTTGAGCGCAGGCTCAGTAGTTGTGGCGCACGGGCTTAGCTGCTCCGCGGCATGTAGGATCTTCCCCGGCCAGGGCTCAAACCCATGTCCCCTGCATTGGCAGACAGATTCTTAACCACTGCGCCACCAGGGAAGTCCCCAATAATTTACTATTAATATATAGCTTATTTTTTTTAATGTGTCAACAAACACACAATGATTACCTTCTACATGTCGAGAGAAAACAAAGGAGAGTAAGCTATATGCATATAGCTTATATACCTAATCCAATGGTCAACATTTGTTGAAACACATTCTATTTATAAGAACCTTACAGATAAGTGGATTTGGAATCTCAAAAAATACTTGTACAGTGAAGTGAAGGGCCGTGTTCTTAATTCCTCTGACCAACCTGCAATGGTGGAGATTTGGCTCACTGGAATGGTGGCAGCCTTCTGGAGGTCCATTTTGATCTTTTTGGCCTGTCAGAACAGAGCAGTGAGAAGGGACACAGTGTTCTGAAGAGCTAAGTAGACGCCCCCTTAGGGTTAGGGAATGTGACGCGCTAGCTACATTCCTCTGGGACACAAGGCTGTGGGTGGCACCATGCGGCCCAGAGAATTCCCAACTCCCACCCCTCCTACCTGACTGTCTTTGCTGTTGCTCAGTCCCTCAAAGGCCAACACACACTGACTGGAGGCCTCCTGCAGCTGCTGGTACCACTGCATTGTACTATCTTGCACCTTCACCTGGAGGTCTGAGGGATGAAAGAAAGGCTTTCATAATAGGAGAATTTCTTAAACATTTAATATGAGCCAGGTACTGTTCTAATCACCTTATATATGTACTAACTGCTTTCACTGTCATAATAATCCTATGAGGTAGATTCTATTATTATCTTCATGTTACAGAAAAGGAAACAGTCATGGAAAGGTTAGGTAACTTGCCAAAGTCACGTTGCCAGGAAGTACAAAAACTAGATTCCCACTGATCTGGCTGCAAAGGCAGCATTCTGAACCACTATGCTATATCGATGCTCTTATGTATTCAATAAACCTATATTCTATACATACTTATTTAAAATACTCAATAGCAGCAATATTTGGAATAATACATCTACTAGAATTATACAGAATTTCAAGTCCTCACGGCAAATGTTGGAATCTGACGTCAGGTTCACATCAACGAAAACTAAATTTAATTCACTGAAAGTAGTGAATTTTACATTATTTAAAAGTTCTGGTAAATTGTCCTGTAGCTTAAATATAATATTCAAAACACGTTCTTGTTTCTTTTCCCATTCTGAAACTTTTCCACATCAAGTCGAAGGACCATTTCCACACCAAGACCTACCTTTGTTCAGTTTCCCTCCTGGGCCCTGTCTGGAAGCTGGGGGCTCTTTGCGGACCTCTGGCCCCTGCTGCACCTGTGACTCTTGCCGCTTTACCTGGGCCTCCTCTTCATCCTGCCTCCTCCTGTCCTCACAGGCCCTGGCGATTTCCTGCTGCAAGTTCACAAGGAGGTCCCGCATTTCCTGCAGCGCTCTCTCAGCCACAGCTTGCTCCTCTGCTGTGGGAAAGCCATTCTGTCACAGCAACAGAGGCAGAGCTTAGTGGTTATTTCCTAGGTACCTGAGGTGCTGAATCATACCTCACGCAAGTCCACAAATTTCTAAACTGGAATTGTGCCAGTGGAGTACCCACATTCAACACATTGATACCTACTGCTTTCCTGTTCTCTTAAAGGTAATACCGATTTACCATCACATCCACAGGATCGACGGAGAGATTTTTCAATGCTCTCACCAACACTGGCTGGAATAACTTTTTTTTTTTTTTTAAAGATGGTAGCCAATTCTTATTTCATTTTATTTCATTTAATTATTTAGTTTTTGGCTGCGCTGGGTCTTCGTTGCTGCACGCGGGCTTTCTCTAGTTGTGGTGAGCGGGGGCTACTATTCCTTGCGTTGCGCGGGCTTCTCATTGCAGTGGCTTCTCTTGTTGTGGAGCACGGGCTCTAGGCGCGCAGGCTTCAGCAGTTGTGGCACATGGGCTCAGTAGTTGTGGCTCCCGGGCTCTAGAGCGCACGCTCAGCGGTTGTGGCGCGTGGGCTTAGTTGCTCCACGGCATGTGGGATCTTCCTGGACTAGGGCTCGAACCTGTGTCCCCTACATTGGCAGGCAGATTCTTAACCACTGTGCCACCAGGGAAGCCCAGAATAATTTTTTAAAAGCTCGTGGCAATAGTCTAGATAAAAACTGAACCAGCTTTACATTATTCTTAGAATGACACCTCTTTGGTTATAGTGCATTATTCCTGACTCACTGACAAATTTGAGTTCTTTATCTTTTATTAAGAACATCTGCTCATAAATGAGCTCACATACAAGTCCAACGAACACGCACATTTCTTTTAGTGTGCTATTTTGTCAGAATTTCACTCAGGATTTTAAAATGAATTGAGAAGCTCTGCACCATTTTCTATGTTCTGTCCTATCAACGTTTCATAGTTTTGCCTGTTAAATCAGCAAGGCCTCTACTGTGTTGTATATTTGAAAGGTGCTAAGAGAGTAAATCTTAAAAGTTCTCATCACAAGAAAAACAAAATGTTTCCTAATTTCTATGGTGACAGAAGATAACTGGACTTATTGTGATCGTTTTGCAGTGCTTATAAATACTGAATCACAGTTGTACACCTGAAACTAACATAATGTTATTTGTCAATTATACCTCAAGAAAAAAAGCAACAGTGGAAACAATAAAATGTTATGATATTTGCAATATACTTAAAACACCAAGATCTCTTATTTTTTATTAAAAAATTTTTTTTGCTGAAGTATAACTGACATACAATATTATATTAATTTCAGGTGTATATGCATCATGAATTAAGTCCTCTTTTTTTCACTTTTTAAAATTTTTATTTTATATTAGAGTATACTGAATTACAATGTTGCGTTAGTATCAGTTGTACAGCAAAGTGATTCGGTTATATACATATATCCATTCTTTTTCAGATTCTTTTCCCATATAGGTTACTACAGAATATTGAGTAGAGTTCCCTGTGTTATACAGTAGGTCCTTGTTGGTTATCTATTTTATATATAGTAGTGTGTATATGTTAATCCCAAATTCCTAATTTAGCCCTCCCCCCCACCTTCCCCCTTTGCTAACCATAAGTTTGTTTTTGAAGTCTGTGAGTCTGTTTCTGCTTTGTAAATAACTTCATTTGTATCATTTTTTTAGATTTCACATATTAGTGATATATTTGCCTTTGTCTGAGAAGTCCTCTTATTTTACTTTTATTTTTCATTTATTTTTTTAAAAATTAAATTTTATTGGAGTATAGCTGATTTACAATGTTGAATTCTTATTTTATTTTATTTTTTTAATTTATTTTGGCTGAGTTGGGTCTTTGGTGCTGAGTGAGGACTTTCTCTAGTTGCAGTGAGCAGGCGCTACTCTTTGTTGCGGTGCGCAGGTTTCTCATTGCAGTGGCTTCTCTTGTTGCAGAGTATGGGCTCTAGGTGCGTGGGCTTCAGTAGTTGTGGCACATGGGCTCAGTAGTTGTGCCTCGCAGGCTCTAGAGCGCAGGCTCAGTAGTTGTGGCACTGGCCACCAGCTTAGTTGCTCCACAGAATGTGGGATCTTCCCGGACCAGGGCTCGAACCTGTGTCCCCTGCGTTAGCAGGCAGATTCTTAACCACTGCGCCACCAGGGAAGTCCCTGAATTCTTATATTAAACCAACTTGTTCCAGATAGTAAAACAACAGCAACAAAAAAATTCTACAGGATATTCATGATAAGTTTTGTCTTTTAGGTATTAAAATGTATTATAAAGCTATATCAATTAAATTATAATGATCCTGATATAAGAATAAAAACACATCATCAAGGAAACAGAAAAAAATACTGAATAGATACATGTATATGTATAACTGAATCACTTTGCTGTACACCTGAAGCTAACACAGCATTGTTAATCAGCTCTACCCCAATATAAAATAAAAAGTAAAAAAAAAAAAATACTGAAAAAGAGCTCCTAGGATACTATTTAGTGTGATAAGAGATATTTACAAATCAGGAGGGAAAGTGGTAGTAAAATGTGTGAACATTTTACAGCATAAAGGTCTTTATCTCCCACCAACCATCAAATAAATTCCAGGTGGATTAAGTGAGGGGAAAAAACCCAAAGCATTCTTACATCAAAAATGTCATGAGGGGGCTTCCCTGGTGGCACAGTGGTTGAGAGTCCGCCTGCCGATGCAGGGGACATGGGTTTGTGCCCCGGTCCGGGAAGATCCCATATGCTGCGGAGCGGCTAGGCCCGTGAGCCATGGCTGCTGAGCCTGCGCGTCCAGAGCCTGTGCTCTGCA